CCCCCCCCCCCCCCCTCTGTCTATGCCCCCTTCTTTCATTTCCTTCGCAAACTGATGGGACAAATCAGACGACGAGCCGGGGATAATCGGTAGAATTTTAAAACGAACCAACCAGTCCTATATCGCGTTCTTTTCACTTGAAATTCGATGGAATTACGCGAATTTAACACGTCGCCCTTTCAGTAATTTCGATCACGTTTCCCGAGCTTCCGTCTCAAGTTTTCTCGTGATTTATGATTTCCATTTAAATTACACGAGTTACGGGACTCGAGGAGAAGTTAAAAAAATGTTAATCCATCTGTGATTGATTTGTGCGTTGGATCTTATCGAGACTGATACACGTCCAGCTCGTTTTATCGCGAAACCCGGGTCGGTAGGCAGATACAGTCATTACAAAACGGAACAGCTGATAACACTCGTGTGCCTGTGTTTCCAATTTGGATCCCAGTTTCACGTAAATTTGCTCCACTTCTGCACCGGCAACGACTACGGCGGAACCTCTAATTCACTCGAGATATACCATCGCGAAATCATAAAATACTTGGACACGTGACTGTTAAGAAGACAAAGATCCGTTTCAGCGACTCGTTCCAACCGGGACGACTGATAACGACGAGCAAGGGACAGAGTTTAGTAAGTTTAATCACAGTTGGCGGACGTTGCTCCAGTTTCGTTGGGGTTGCATGGTATTCTTGGAACGAAATACGTCTCGATGGGGATCGCTAAGAAGGCAGAATGCCATTTCGATGGCACTTTACCGTGGAAACTCGTCAAAAGAGGAACGAACCACCTTCCTGGCGCGCTGGAAATTATTCGATGTTGGGATTTCGTGCTGCTTCAGCCTCGAGCAGCCTCGAGAGAAGCCATATCATGAAAATTGAAAACATTTCAGGGGCAAATGGATAACGAAACGGCGAGCGGAGTGCACTTGGATTATCGAAAAGTCGCTTTCGGCCAGCTGCCGAGTGCCAAATGGAAACAGGCGATGAGATTTTCCACAGATGACTGCGTGGATATCCTTTATGGCGGTTCGATACGTAATTTTTTTCACCGTCGAACACATTACGGAGTAACACGGTAATGGAAAGTGGCCTCTCGTGGTACTTGGAGACGTTCTCCGGTAGCCGGGCCCATCCCCGTTGCTGCAACTGTGTCAAACATTATGCAGGCAAGCAAAAGCCACTTGGAATGCAAATATTTGCAGCGAGCGTAATTAAGGCCCTTGTAGAGTGGAAGTGACGAGCGCGTTCAGTTGTTGGATCGGCACCCGTTGCCGAGGAAAAATATTGCCTTTCGCGCAAGGAACTCATGCAGGGCACTATTCTGCGAATTTTTTCCTCGGATAATTCGCGCAATCAATAAAATAAATTTAATAGAGTTCCGAGGAATTTTGCTTCCGTTCGTCTTTGAAACTTGGGAAAACGAATGGGAAAAATAACTCCAACTGGTACTCTTGGAGTAGAATTTTTTCGAGTACCTTTCACATACTCGTACCAGCGGTGCATTTATCGAGGCAAATCTATATTTTTATGGAATACGAAGGTAGAAAGCATTCCGCGGATAAATGGTATTGTCGTTTGGAAAAAAATTGCGGAATATTTTAAGAGAGAAATTCGTTCCGGAATGTCTTTTTACGAGACCATTTCTACCGCTGACAGCGGGGAAAATTCTATCAGCAGTATGCATATGTAGTAAGAATAGAGAATTTTTTCCACAATTTTATTTCCACGGTACACATCGATTTTCGTGGATTGGAAAATTGCGAGAAGTTTTGAAATAACGAGTACATGCCGTTATTGGATCGGCGCTATTGTTGGCTGGCAAAAATATCGGTTTTCGTACTGGAAGGTCCATTGAAAAGGCTTTTTCCTCGAATATTTCTCAAACGCTGGAAAATTTAGAGAGTCATATTCGGGTGGCGTGTACAAAGAGAAGAAGAATTTCTAAGAAACTCGAAGGGCAGATATTTCTAAAACGGAACGACGTATCGCAACTATCGTTTCGAGTCATCAACCGAATATTGCGACACGACGCGTGACGATGATACGAATTATCGATCGGGAACAAATCGCACCTGGATCGCGAGAGGGCTGGTTACCATTGTCTGGGAGCATTTTGAAATTATTTTGTTTCGAGGCAAACTGATAAAGAGCGCTGTTTCAATGTGCATCTCGCATTGAATTCATCGGTGCAGTCGATTGATATTTACAAACGACTGCGTTTATCGGTGGAAAATATACGCGTACAGAAACAAGATCTTCTTCGGGGGCGGAGGGGGTGGAAGAATTTTTTTGCAGCAGCGTTGGGAAAACGCTGGCTGAAAAAGTTCGCAGCGAAAACTGGAGCGAACACGTTTGACCGTTTGCCGAGAAAATTGGAATTCCTTTGGCAGGGAAAACGTGGAAATAAAAGTGAAATAAAACGTTCGCCCGCCGCGATAATTTACAGTTTAATCGAATAAAGAAAAGCATTAGCACCGGAAGGGGATGTTCATTCCCTTCCAACGTTCGGTTAATCTTCGTGCTCGGATAGCAGAGAAAATGAAACCTTCGACCTGGCATTTGAAAATCAACGATTATCTCGATGCCGGGGCTACTCGTGTAACTCTACGAAACGAGATCGATCCATTTCGCGCAAAGAAATTGCATTAGTATCTCGTCTTGTCTTCCAGGCAATTTTCCCCGGACGAAAAAGAGGGAGACGAAGAGTTTTTCGTGATCTACCTTGGCAAGAAGCGAGCCATCTTAGATCGACTTGGTCTGGCTCGTTTTAATTTTCAATTTCCACGAGAACAGGAAGCAACAGCCACTCGCTTCGATAGCAGCCTTCAACCCCGGGGAACGATCCCGTCTCCACGATTATTTACGAAACGTTAACGGATTGCCACGATCGAGTCGATTAAATGTTCTGGATCGTCGTTCGATTTCCGGCGTTCGCCGAAGGAAACTGACATTGCTTTTCTTTCCACCTTCCCATTCGACGTGTGTTTATTCGCCAGTCGAAGGGGAGGAAACCCGTGACGCGTTGAGAGAACGAGCGGAGCAACATGGGAGAGACATTTCCATCACAAAAACGACCGCTTTCGGTGGATCAAGCCACGAGGACGCCACTCGAATATGTATGGGACCAAAAGGGGCCATCGCTACTCGACAGTCCTCGTTCGGGATATTCATCAGGAGTCCAGAACTTCCGTTTCCTGCAGCTCCAATGGCCGATCAATTCATCGAGTGCTTATGGAGATGAAGGGACTCGAAATTAAGGTGGTTACCGGCTGTGATTTTTGTGGAACAAGTGCATTTCCCGTTTCTCCATGCTACCTATGGAAATTTATATCAAATATTTAAACGAAAAATAATTATTATTTATTTATTTATTTATTTATCTTAACGGGTAATAACTCTTTGGTAACAAGAAAAATAATAATATAGTACAGAGTCATTTAGAGTTCTCGTTGGCCGATAGAAGATACAATATACTATGCTTAAAATGAGTAGGTGAACAGAAAAAATTTGAGGATTGGCGGAAACGGTATATTATATTAAGATATATTATTTAATATATTGTTATTATTATTACGATATATTATTTAATATATCGGACGTTGAATGTTCAACATCGAAGAATAACAGGAAAAGAAGACTTTCTTCACTTCAGGACAAAAATTTCAAGGCCCTTTTTCCACCCCTCGCAATACGATAAAATAAAATAGGAAAGAATCGCGAGTTTCGAATTGTTTCTTCTTCGCTTTCACTATAGTCGAATCGATTAAGCAGGACAACGAAACTGACCTCTTCTTTTTTTAAATTAAATTTACGATAATCGTGCTTTCTTTCAAACAATCACGCGTATCCATCGTACCGTACCCGGATCCGTTAGTCAGCGTTTTCCAGGCAGTTGGGTAAACACGAAAGCGCGTTCGAACGAGCGCAACACAATGCTCTCGAAAATATATAGACGCAGTTAAGGGATTTGCCAATGCGCTACTCTCTAATTCCTCTCCACAATTCTGAATTCCAATCCGAGCGAGCAAATTATTTCGAATTATCCAGCAAACTTCGAAAGGTATCTGCGCGTTTATAACTTCGAATCTCCCTTTCTACTCGTGGATACGTGGCATTAAAGCGACAAGCGTAAACCGTTTACAAAAAGATTCCTTCCACGGTGGAAGCGGTGGACGATTTATCGAAAGATCGGATTACCCTAGGGGACGCGTTACTCGTGCTACAAAACGTTCGAATTCCATTCGGAACGGTTCTGTATGGTCATCAGCGACGGAATATGTTGGTCGTGAAGGAGAAAGAAGCATGAGTTATGCGGCACTGTCGCGACCCTCTCGAAATCGTAACGCAGAATCAATGACCCTTCGTTTGCTTGGCCATTCTTCCCTCGACGTTGGGATTTCGTTGTACTTGGAATAAAATTGGAAGGACGAAGGCCGGATGGGCCAATATAACGATGAAAAATCCCAGAACTGACCGAGATAGGGGAAAACAAAAATTCCCCTTCGTCCAAATGATTTTATTTACATGCACGTCGATGAGTCGCGGACAAAGAAATTTACGAAGTTCGGAGCCAACTTCGCTCGGCTTTTGCTTTCCAAAATGGCTACAAAGCCCCCTCGGTGTGCCGGAAAATCGAGAAAATTTACAAAGTGTACTTAGGGTCGGAATGGAAAGAATATTCGGAGCTTCGGCGAAGAGAGAAGTTCACGTTGACTGGAAACATGTTGTTACATCGGATCGTGGAGGTTAACGTGACCGTCGTGCGAAATCCCAGTATGACCATAGAGAGAACGACGCTAACCTTGAAGAACGGGCATTTCCCGGACATTACCGAGCTCTTCCTCGATGTATGGCGCTATTTCCCATCTTCTAATTCCCCATAGAACTCTGGAATACCATCGATACCTTTAACGGTTCCATATCTCGAACTTGCTTAAAAGCATAGGAAAATATCGCTTCTATGGAGTGACAAGGGATTAGAATTTCGTCGAAAAATGACGTATAAGTATTCGATATATGTACGTAAATACGTAAAGCAGTACAGACTTTCTCCGTGACGTTCCGTGTTCAGTGACGTTACTGTCCTCGTTTATTCGGCTCGTGAATTATATAGATTGGATGTCAGTGTTTTCGAAGGTATTCCGGAGCCGTGGGCTATTCCACGTCCACGATTGATCGAAGGCAATTTAATTTAATGCGGGCTCAATGTTTAATCCACTTAATATTAATCGCGGCAGTAGGCCGCTTTCATCGTACCTTCTAACCGTTCCATAAATGGAAAATTTCCCATCTGCAGCGGTTACCGATTTATCTCGACGTTACACCCGAGTGCACGCATAAAAATATTAAAAAATGAAGGAATACCGTAGTCGGCTCGTCGGTAGGCAACACAAAAGCTTCTCCACTGTGAACCAGATTTCTCCTCTTCTTTTCCCACCTTCGAACCTCGCGTGGATAATCGATTTATCGCATTCGACCGTTATCGAGTTTACAAGTTCGCGAGAATTAACCGCTATGATATCGCGTTAATTTCAACGCCGTTACATCAGAGGGCACTAACGATAATAGAGGATTCGCAACAGAACTCGATCAATCGCGGAACGAGTGATTTTTGCGAGAGATTTACGACAGCTTTTCCCTGTACTTGGTAATTCGGTAATTCGCGCGATGCGTCATTGCGAGTAGAAAATTCGGCGAAAATACGCCCGTGAGCCGGATAAACGTTAATAAATTTTCATTCGGTCGGTCGTGCACGCCGCGACACGATGTTGGAACAGGTCGGGACGATCTGCGACGAGCAACCGTTCAGAATTTATTGCCGGATCTCCGAGCGGGACTACGTGCCCGTTTTCAACTTTATCAGCTTTAAAGGCGGCCTCGAGCTGATATGCAGCCCCGAGTAAACATCACCAGTGATTACAATCGACTTGTTGAATTCGAGGCATCCCCGTTTCACGGGAAATCGCCAAACTTTCGGATTCGATCGTGAAAAATTCCGATTCGAAGGAAATTGATTTTATCAACTAACGAGACGAGGATGACTCGCGACAGTTGGAGGCTCAGGTCGAATTTTCATTTCGAGATTTCGCGCAGGATCTACGTGGTCGTGGACGAGCCCATCCTCGACAGGTCTTCGTCCAGGAGTAAATCTTCGACAGGAAAAAGTGACGATTCGGTGGAAATTATTAGCGCGGAAGATAATGAATCGGATGCGAAATTCGATTTCACGGAGAAGGATGTCTCGTCGTTATTGGTGCTGTCCGATATCGAGATACTGCAGGTACATAAAACGTTTATGTTGGGGAACCGGGGGTTTACGTGCAGGTTTATGGAGAAGGAATTAGAGCGAGAACTGAAGAACAAGAGCAACGACGATGCTCGTGAAAAGTAATCGTGTTTGTTGCGTTTTAGTGCGCTTTGTCTATCTTGCGAGAGTACGACGACGACCCTGGCGCCCCTTTCCGTTACCTATTTGCGAAAACACCCCCTTTGTACGGCCGAGAATTGAAGGACACCGACAGACAGATGAAGATTTTGATGAAGGGTGAGTTGGTCAAAAATGTTCGCGAGGTATTTAAAATATTTCACCACGCGTTCACCTCGATTGCTCGTGGTTAACCGGAATTTTTCCCGGAAACAAGGAATGCCTGGTATTTCAGCAAAGTTACAACGGGATTATGTCTTTAATAACGTCTTCAGTTTCACAAGAAATTTATTCCATCTGCTTGGCTGCATGTTCGATACCCGAGTAATTCTGAAATATAATTCAGAGGCTAAGGGAAGTTCCTTAGACAGCGAAGAGATCGTAAACTCATTTGCGTTTGTTTGTTCTTCTCCTCGGTTGTTTCTTCATAAATTCTATCGAGGTAGACGGCTCTATTATCATTGATTTTGAATCTCCATCCAGAGCGCCATTTAAATTCTGGCTAGAACAGAATTTCCCGATTTGATCAGCGCACTCGAAACTGGAAGTATCTGGTTACCAATATTCGTCAACATGCACTCGAATGTATCGAATGGTTCGCGTGGTCGCGATGGTTCACGCACGAAATCGAGACCACGCAATCAAGCAGAAGTGGACAATCGTTTTTTACAGCGAGTACCATTTTTCCCGCCAGTCGCAATTAACGTTTAATGCGTTCCATTTGTACGCGCGTGCGGGCCAAAGTAATCGATCGATCAGGCTACATCTATCACGAGGAAGAGGAGAGAAGGAGGAGAAAAATGAGAGGGAAAGGTAGAAAGAAGGCAAGACTAATAAGAGCAGAGAGGAGAGAGACAGGACGAGCAGGAGGAAGTGGAAACGGAAGAGGAAAAGGAAGAGGAAGAAGGTACACAAATTCAGAGAGATCGGTTGAGTGGCCACGTAGAGTTCGAGTCCCGTGTTTACAGGCGTTTAATTGCGTTTACTTACATGGTTAATTCAGCGTGGCTTGTGACATTGTCACGCTTCAGGCCAGGCCCCGATGTCGAGTTAATTGTTTGCCTTTCATTGACCTTTTTACCTCGCGGAAAGCTACGCCGAAGAATTCCCGCTGCTTTGAACTCAGGATCCAGATTGTTCCAAGTGCTTCACCGTCCTTCTTCCCGTCCCGTTGCGGGAATTGAAGGTCTTTGTTCCGGCGTCCTTTGAGACCGGTGTGCGTTTCTTGCGTTTGATTTCCGTCGCTCTGATTAAAGAGCTGATTTTCGCGTTTCTATAAACCAGGCATTCGTTTCTTCGTCCTTCCCGAGACAGTTTCCCGGGGCTTTCCGACATTTTCACGGCTGAAATATCAGCCTCGAAGGGCGAGCAGCTAATTACTTCCGTTTTACCAACATCGTCGACCTTTTTTCCCAGGACGGAATCCAGGATTCGCGAGCAAGCAATTTTAACCGTTTCAAGTTAGGACTCTTTACCGTGGCGAAATTTCGGCTCATAATTTCCCACTGTTCCAAGCCGCGGGGACCCCGCAGTTGCTGGATTATTAAAATTTGATCCGTCTGTGGAAGTTGGCTTAATTAAGCGTAATGTATACGCGTGTAATAAACGGGGCAAGTTTATGGGGAATCCGTGTAACGAGGTTAATCTCGGTCTGGCCGAGATCAGTCGACCTCTCGTAAAGGAATTTTACTATCGGCTTTCAGCCCGAGACGCGCGATGGATCGTCCCGTGTTTCCTTATCGGTATTCTTGGCCGCTTATCGCGGCACGAGCCACGTTCAAAGACCGAGTTTCCATTTTGGTAACGAAGCGTTTGTCCGCGCAGGTTTCCCGCAAGCCAAAGAGAAGCCTTTTCACGAACCGTTCCCGGAAGTGAGGGATATCCGCTCGCAGAGCGCCAGCAAAGGTTCGCGAAGAGGGAAGAAGTGAAACTCGCCGATCCCACGAGGAATTATTTCGATTTATAAATCGTTAAATCATTTCGCCGAAGATGTAACATATCACGGTATTTTCTTCGCGATCAAAGAGATTCGTTAAAACGAGATGAAATATCAGCTAAAAACGACGTTAATTACTCCCAAGGGAAGATCGATGGCGTGCTAAAATGTTGATCAACCACGCGTCTAATGAATACGTACCTGCTCGGAAGAAAGTAACACGGCAGAGCGTAACTCGTTGGAAATGACTTAATTTCCGCATTGTCATGGGACAGTCTCATCAGGGAGACGCATTTAAGTCTGGCTTCAAACGCCACGCCGTACCTTGCGTAATAAACCAACATGTGAGTGTGTAACTGCACTTGTCTCGCTCTAATGATCATTAAGGAGGCTGAGAAGAGTCAACGGGTCGTCCAAGTACCGGAACTTTGCTAAAGTATTTTTTTCCTTTTTTTCTTCCCTTGCCTTTCTCCCTCGAGTGACACCCTACGGAGTCTCTTCGACCCCTTCGCGCCATTCTCTGCCTCACGTGTGTTTTCCATTAAATCATCGCGCAGTCATCTCTTTGCTTCCGTACTCTCGGTTAATTTTCCAAACGACCACGCGCGTTCTTCGTTCCCCTGCCTCTGAACCGAGGTATCGGAGACACCATGTTGGAATTTCGAAGCGCGAAAACCTCCTCGGCGCGTGCCTTATCGTTTTATCACTAGCTGCTACCCCACAAATTTTTGAATCCAGCGGAATATTTCGCCAGATGAAAATCCCTGTTCCCTTTAATCCTGTCTACAGCCAGGGGAACAAATAGCCGGTGGCTTTCACGCCGAGGTTCGCTCAGGTGACACCGATCGCGTTTAAGTCTATCCGGCCCAGTCGCACGGTTGAAAAATGTAAATCGTGTTTGGAGTGCAATTAAAAAGTTTAAAAGCGTGCTCCGCATCGAGTGAGGCCTCTCTCTCGGGGCGCAGTCAAAGCCACGGGGGCTTACAATTAAGGGATGAAAGTGGGATGACGTTCGTTTGTGAAAGCCGGAAGAAGGAGGGCTTTTGGTGGCATCCGGTCCAAGTCCGACGCGATTTACTGAAATTCACCGCGGGTAGAATAACAGGGGTCTCGTTTCCTCGATGAGGGCTCGGTCTCGCGAAATCGTGTCTGTAATGAAGATCCTTTCCGAGGCGCGCTCGAGCGTGGAAAAAATCGAGCAGGATTATTGAAAGTGAAAGAGTCGCGAGTATCAAACGAGCCGGGATATCAAAGGGACCGTATTAACTACCGATGGCTGACATTAAACGTATAGACCCTTTTCAACTTGTCGCGGGTTGGCGTATAGAGCGACGAAAATTAATGTCGGCAAGGTGTACGGCGAGGAGAGAATGGAAGGCTGGGGTGTTTGAGGAGCAGAAAAATCGGAGGCAGAGGGGTACGTCTGAAAAATTACGCGAGAAGTTTCCCGACATTTACCCTTTAACGGGTGGAAACCGTGTCGTTGGCTGGTATTTCGCGTGTATCCTCCGTATTCTGTACGTGTGTGCGGGGAACGCGATGCAGCGATTAGAGACGCAGCGTGACGTCAATGGGCCGAAGTGTCTGTCCTTGTTAGAGAGGCGGTTTCTGGAATGTTGCGTTCACGCGTACGAATGCACACGGGCCCGGTTGGATTTCGACGCGGTTTGGCAGGGAATTCGCCCTGTGCGTGTCTCGTCTTTCGCGATGCCAGCAGGTTAACGCGCGCACTTTGATCCCATCGACGTTTCAACGTGACCAACGCTGTACTACTCCATGGCAAATCGACCGTCCTGTATCCTGCGCAGGATATCCAGTTGTTCGCAGGACAGCTTTCACCGGTCCGATGTTTTTCCCAAATTTTTGCAAGATTTGTAACAGCTCGGGACTCGTACGTTTCTCCGTTTGTGCTTACCCTTTGCGTCGTTTAGCCGTTCGAGTTGCCCAGGGAATTACGTTCGACTGGTTTATCTTCGACGAAAGAGTCGCGTATCGGATAAGAATAGCCACTCCGTGTAATTTCTCCAGGGACATCGTATTCTTGTTTATCCTGCCGATCCACGGGGACGACGGCGCGGTTATGGTGCCTCGATAAACGTTACGCGACTGTGAAAGGAAATCGACGGTGCACGCGGGTACGTGCACGTCGGTGCAGAGATTTTTCCACAATTTCGCGAGGATTTTATTAGCCGCCGATTTATCTTCGGTGATTGCCACGCGAACAACGGGATTGCAATTAGGGACGAAATTGCGGAATGATTTTCTATTAGCACGCTTGAAACGCGCTGATTCGAAGCGAAACCCCCCGCGTCGAGGAATTCAGCACCGTGAACCTTTTGCCGGTCAATAACCGTCCGAATTTTTCGCGAAATCGAACTGCGTAAATTGTCCAAACTGCGCGCCGGGCGAGCCGAAATTGCTCATCCCGAATGTCGCTCGCATGACATAAAGGCAGCTCGTTTGCGATCGAAAGAGGTTATTACCTCGATCGAGAATTATTGCGCACCTTGAATTACATCCCTCGCGAGAGGAATTTTTTCGGCCATTATGGTCTCGAAATTTCGAATAATCGTGTCGTCGTCGTGCATATGTACGTGCATTTTCTTCGATTAGATACCATCCTGCTAATTTCAACTCATCGTGTGTGAGGGAAGAAACGTACTTTTGTGTTTGACATAAATTATTTCACACTTACGACTGTGAAGCGTTGTCTGCTGGAACCTAAGAATAAGGTTTCTCGAGAGAAATTAGATGGATTATCGTACCACTTCCTCTGCTCCTGAGGCATTAAGTTTTTCCGAGCCAGACCAACGAGTCACCTCTGCGTTCTGTCACAATTCGATCGAGGTAAAATGGAACTTCTCTAATTTAAGTAAAGCTAAATATTCCACGGAGGACGTGGCAATTCCACGCTACCCAAGTCTCCATTATTATCCCACGATTCTGCAACTTAGCGAATTAATCTTTCGCCGGGCGGAATTCTCAAAGCAAATATTTCCACTGTAAATAGCACACGGAAGAAACTATCAGCTGTTCAATTAGCGAAGCGTTTGGCTTCACTTAGAGCCACTTTGTTATCGCGTTAAATTCGATCGAGCCACGAGGAGAGGCTCGATACTCGCCGAACACGCTTCGGAATTCGTCGCTCGCGGATGACTAGGTTCTCGATTTTCTAAGGCAAACGTCGTTACCACGGGAAATATCGGGAACTCGTGCGATTGACTGGAGCGTATCGGCGCGGAAACGTTGCCACGGCTCCGTCAACACTTGCTATTGACATTTTTCGCGGCGAAAAGGGCCGCGTTCTAGCTGCACGCCTGCTCGGCGAAATTTTTCCTTATCTCTGCGAATTTTCCAGCTTCTCGGCGTTTAACATCCTCCAGGATTACCAGAGCGAGTGAACGCGAGCTACGCGATTTTGCACGCATGCCGGCCGATTTTCCTCGTGCAAATTCTCCCGCGTCACTCTTTTAGTCTCAGCATTTATTCGCACCTATCTCGTTACGCGTAATTGGCAAAAGAGTTCTTTTCTCTGCGTGTGGTGATCCCTTTGGAGATTCAGCGAGGTCCTAGACGGTATGCAAAATTTACGTTTCGGATAAACTCGCGAGGAACGATGAGGGTTGTTTTACGAGCGTTTTATCCGCCAGTTCGGCGCTCAACTAGGTTTCTCGTCTTAAGCGAAATCTCGTGGATTACAAAACGCGAAGGCAAATCGAATTTGTTATATCGGATTGCACGCTGCGGGGCGAGGAACGGTGACGAGTATGCAGGTAAATTACGATTGTAATAGAATGAAGTTGGCGGCCCTTTAACCGCCATCGCAGAACGAATTCGCCGTGTAATTACGGCACGTTTTGTTAATACAAGAATCGCGACAGAGCCAATTTCCACCGAACAATATCGCCGCGATAACAATGAGGAAACGCTGCCAAATAATTTCGCGTGACAATTTGCTACGCGAAAAGGCGCGAAACGCGCAGCCACGTCGACACTCTAAATCCTGGAATTACAGCAAAGCAGCGGAATCCACGGCAAACTTCTTAACTCGTCGAATCGTTGAATCATCGAATTACCCATCCTCGAAGTTATAAAACCGAGTACTTTCCTTACCAAATTACCAACTTTCGTCATCGCTTGCAACGTCTCGCCGCCGTGGTCTCGCCATTCGTTTCGTTACGAACACAAACGCATCTTGATTCTAACAATCGCGGGGTTCCTTCGACTCTCGAGGAAATAGCTGGCAGTTCCCGTCTGCCAACGGAGCTAGGTGAACCACCGATGTCACCTGCACGCCATCGAATCAATAGAACCGTCGAATCGGTACTTAACGATTTGGACAACCGCAAGTGTGGGCCGTTGGTCCTATATTACAGGCAGAATTATCGAATAAGGACCATTCATGCTCGCCGTTTCACACACACACACACGCACACTCCGTCCGCAGTACACCGTGCATGTAGACGCATGCACGAGGCTTTTGACCGTCGTCCGTGATCGGTTTGCCGGGTCTGGCCCTCGCGAAATTTCAATTATTAGGCAATACGAGCCGGTAACAAGATAAACGGGTGGCGCATCATTCGAATTTAATTTGCAACGCGAGCTGATTTAATCTCACTCGGCCTCCAATCGCACCCGACCCACCGCGATTGGCTCGCGCGCTATTAAACTGTTGGAATTGCCATACTCGCCGATAAAACGCGACTCGGGTATCATTTTAATTGCGGCGAATCGCGAGAGATATATCGCTGGCCGACTCGCTCTGATTATCCATAGGAACCTCGGTTTAATTCGTTGTCGCGTGTGGCTTGTAATCCCGTGTCATGGCGTCGCGTTTTCGCGCGATTCGCGGCATTCATTCGTGACAATTGACACGATGAACTGGGGTCAATCGCTGGCTGAGAATAAGGACAACGAAAAAGTCGCTCGTGAAGCGACCTGTCGGGTTATTATCGACGAATAAAACGACCCCGCATAGGTGACGATACGATC